CTTTCTCCTTCCTTCCTCTTTGAAATCAATAAAGAAACATATTAAAACAAAAATAGATACAGAGGCAGAGCAGCATCAAACAGACTGTCAAACTACAGTGGGAAGGCCGAGAGGGTTGGGGGAAGGGGGGAGGAGATCAACCGAAGGACTTGTATGCATGCATATAAGCATAACCAATGGACATAAGACACTGGGGGGTAGTGGAGGCCGGAGGAAGGTCAAAGGGGAGGAAAAAAAGGAGACATATGTAATACTCTTTGTAATACTTTAAGCAATAAAACAAAATTAAAAAAAAAAAGCTACATGAGAATAAAATGAATTTGGAAAAAATTAAAAAAAAAAAGAGACCTGAGAAAGAAGAAATAGCAATGTCCTTGGAAACAATGAAGTGGATTTATCTATAACTAGAGGCCAGTGCATGACTTTAGCCCGGCCTGCGCCCTCTCACAGTCCAGGACCCCTTGGGGGATGTCCAACTGCCAGCTTAGGCTCAGGGAGCGGGCCTAAGCTGGCAGTCGGACATCCCCTGAGGGTTCCTTAGTGCTGCTGTGGAGGCAGGAGAGGCTCCCACCACTGCCGCTGCGCTTGCCAGCCATGAGCCCGGCTTCTGGCTGAGCGGTGCTCCCGCTGTGGGAGTGCACTGACCACCACGGGGCAGCTCCTGTGTTGACCATCTGCCCCCTGGTGGTCAGTGGCATCAAAGCAACTGGTTGTTCTGCTGTGTGGTTGATTTGCATATTAGGGTTTTATTATATAGGATGGTGAAAATAATGAATTCTGCATGGGCGGTGCTCAATTATACAGGATATACGGCAGGTACTTCCCTTTCTTTGGTAAGTGGTACCACACATAGTAATGACATAATTAAATCTAACTTACGGCAGTGAAAATTTATACATTGGTTATTGTCAGAAATGGAATCATTAGGTAGAAGTGGATTGAGATGGTTACAAGTAATTGATGTTATGATAATTTTTTTAGTGTCTTTTGAAAGAAACAATCTCTGGTTTTCTATTTGAGAGAAGTAGTATCATCAAAATATAATAAAATGATTTAAAAATATTTAACCAATAATTTTTGAAAGAGGAATAGTAAAATAGCTAATCTATGAAAAGCTATTGCTAGAGCTTCTTGGCTAAGGTAATAATTAGAGAGACTTATATAGCAGAATAGTGCTCTTATGGGGAAAAAAGCCCATTGTATTTGAAGAAATCTTGGGGTTTCTTTATTTCTATATTATTAGAAAAAAATCTTATTTTACCTTAAAATTCAAGAGCAGTTCCATAATTTTGTCATATATGCAAATACTTTCAGTCTGAAAAGTATGATGAATTCATTAACTATCTACTAAAATCATTTTTTGGACGAGCATCCAATTTTATACAATAAGTAAACTCAACAGCTACAGTCCTTCAAAGATATCTGAGTGACAATATCAGATTCTCCTGAGGTGATATTTTATATCTGAAAAGTGTGGCTAATTATTTGTGAATGTACTATTCGTCCACATAATTTAATAATTTACAAAGTGATCGTACCTCTTCAATACCAGCTATATTATTGACAGCCAGTTTTTTTAGAGAACTCTGAAGTTTTTTGTCATCAGCTGTAGCTGTTCTATGTACCACCTTCTTCTTTCTGCGAGCTGTACCCTGAAAAATAACCAAACAGAAGGGTTAGCATGCCTTGCATCTGGCAACTGCAATCACATGTCTTCCTATCCACAGTACTCTGAAACCCACATCAGAAATTGCTGACTTAACAGTAATGATTAATAATGCTCAGAATTGTTTGTCAGCCTAATCCAGATTTTTGAAGGTCAGTTCTAGCCAGTTCTTATTCTTTCCAATATTCAGCCTCTATCATTTCAACACTGTTTTCTAACAAAAGTTTTCTAATAAAAAATAACTTATAACTTCAAGACAATTTAGTGTGCTTTATAACTACTTTTTTACAGTACCTATCACACCCTGACAATAAAGTCTAAAAACAGTCTGAATCTTTGGAGGTTATGACATAATTAAGAATCAAATGCCTACTATGTGAGTGTTCTAGAGTCCTAGAATCCAGGGGCGAAAAACATCAGGTTCTTACCTTAAGGATTATATATTGCAGTGGAAAGGTAATAAATATTTATTTATTAACGTAAATAGATATATAAACAAATTAGATCATTTCAAAGGGGATAAGGGTATTGAGAAAACACAGTGATAAGAGTATTGTGTGGGAGCTAAGCACTATTTTATTAGAATGCTAAGGGAAAGCCTCTTTGAAAAGGTGACATATGAGCTGAGGCCCATGGGAAGATCTAGGGGAAGACTGATCCAAGGAGAATGACACAAGAGTGAAGTTGTTGTGTCCAAAGAGAGAAAACAGGCCAGTATTGGTTAGGGCAGAGTGAACATCAGGAAAGGAGGAAGAAAATGAAATCAGAAAGATAGGTAAGGACTAGGCCAAGTAGCCTAGAATGCTACAGGAAGGAGTTAGATTTTATTCCAATTGCAACAGAAAGCCACTGAAAGGTTTTAATCATGGAAATGACTTGATCTGATTGACAATTTTAAAAGATGACTGAGGCTGCTATGGAAAATGAACAATAATGAGATTAATCAGGAAGCTACTATTGCAGTCCTGGTAAGAGCTGGGAATGTGACAGTGGAGATGTCGAGAACTCACTGTCAGAAGAACCAACAGGACTTGCTGATGGCTTGGATGTCAGATATGAGGAAAAAAGGAATCTAGAATGATGCTTTGAAGTTTGGCCTAAGAATAGGCTGAAAATTATACTACTTACTAAGATAGGAAAAGCTCATTTCTAAACCGATACTTTGAAATTCTAAATATATTTTTCCACTGAAAAACAATAGAAAATAATGGGTAAAATTCCTGGCCAATTTATAAAAATGAAACTGAAAGCAGAGCCAAAATACTAACAAAGCAGCCCAAGTCTTGAGGGCTAAACCTTTCTGAGACCTGGCAGGAGTGAGGGGAAAGGAATGGAGGTTTCAATTTCTGAGTAGCTCCTAGAGTAGTACTCAGCCTTATTGAGGGTGGGCAGGGGCTTCAGTTTCAGCAACTCCAGTGGGAGTGGAAGAGCGCTCTGTGAGTAGCAGCAGAGATTGTAATAAAATCCAGCTGTTGAAGGATGGACCATGAGTTACTACATAGATGGTCATTTATTTGTGAAACATTTCTGACTCAGGGGTAGCTTAATTGCTTGCTGGATACCTCAACTCAAATGATCCTCAGACACCTTAAATTCAACATGTCTAAAAGCTTAGTCCATCAAACAATTCTTCTTATATTTCCTACGTTTTGTAGCTGGTTGTACCACCATATATCCAGTCTCTAAAGCCAGAAATCTGGAGCTTATCCCAGACTCTCTTCTCTCCTCTTCATCTCCCATATTCTATCAGTCAAGTCAATTCCAACCCCTATATTTGTGTGTCACATATTATAGCAGCGGCCTCTTGACTGTTCTCCCCTATGCAAACTTCTATTTCATTCAATTTTCCACATGCCAGCAGTTATTTTTCTAAAATGACTGTTATTTCCTTCTTAAAGTCCTTCAATAGTTGCCCCTTGCCTCTAGGATAAAATCCTCAGCTCCTAGAATTGTATATAAAACTATAATCCAACCTCAAATTATATACTCTAAATTCTAGTTGTACCAAACTAAAGCAAAACATCCCATTAAAACACCATATTACCTTAGCATCCTTTGTGCCTTTACATGTTTGAAAATGAAAATCTCTTTTTAATCTACTCACCTACCCTGTCACCTGTCTACCTAGAGATAAATTTTATTTATTCTTCACATCTCAGCCCAGTGATTACTTCCTTGTCTCTCAGGGGCAAGAATACCCTGTACTTCTTTTTTTTTAAAATATATTTTATTGATTTTTTACAGAGAGGGAGAGAGAGAGAGAGTTAGAAACATCGATGAGAGAGAAACATCGATCAGCTGCCTCCTGCATATCTCCTACTGGGGATATACCCACAACCAAGGTACATGCCCTTGACCGGAATTGAACCTGGGACCTTTCAGTCCGCCAGTTGACGCTCTTTCCACTGAGCCAAACCGGTTTCGGCCCCTGTACTTCATTTTAACATTTATTACTCTGCAGTGTAATTGTGAGCATGTCTCTCTTTCAAGTTGAGCTGTGTCAAGAGAAGGAAACTTTAACTTGTTTATATTCTGTGCTATGCACATAGTAGGTGCTCAATAAACTAGTTAAATGAAAAAAATGTGCCAACCACCTCGTTTAAAATATATATAATAGTGATGTGCTGTATCAAGCTTTTCTAGGTATATTCTATGATACTTGAATATCCCTAGTGTTTGCATTGGTACATTACATTTCATGCTACTTTGGTTACATGAATGTTAATGACTCCAAAGTCATATAATGGTATCACTATGAAAAGAGAAAGTACCAGTCACTTCTTCCCTTTACCCTCTTCTGTCCCCATTCCCAGGAGCTGTGGTTATCATCTAAGTAAATGACACAGCTCAGCTGCTACATAGTATCCTACCTATCCTTCCCAAGTCTGATGTAAGCACTATCCTTGCTTTTCCTTTTGCAAAGATTGTACTAGGCAGAGATAAGGGTAGAATGTTCTCCTTGAGCCTGGTGACAGAGCTGAAGGGGAATCAAAGATGTTCAGTGCTCAGAACTAGCTCTTCCTTAGGCTTTAAAGTACATGGAATAAGAATGCTCATGCTCACACAGGCAGGAATTTGGGAGGAAAATCTAGCACTGAACAAAATGTTACAATCAACTGGAATATCTTCAGTTAACCACTTGTAAACCAAACTGTAGCAGAAAGAGTATCCAGCACATTTGGGATGCCCTGATGGTGAATCTAACATAATAATAGCTACCAGCCCTGGCCAGTGTGGCTCAGTTGGTTGGGCATTGTCCTGTATGTACACCAAAAGTTTGCCAGTTCAATTCCCAATCAGGGTACATGCCCAGGTGGTGGACTCACTCCCCGGTAGGGGGTGTACAGGAGGCAGTCAATCAATGTTTCTCTCTCTCCCTACAAACAAATGATAAATCTTTAAAATAATAATAATAGCTACCATTTATTAAGTACCTACTCTGTATCAGACACCAGGTTAGGTGTTTTATAAATATTACTCTAATTTTTTGGAGCATCCTATGTAGGACTATTTCTCTTCTGCAGATGTGAAAATGGAAGCTTAACAAGTTTGGGTAGCTTTTTCCTGTCACGTAACTACCAGATGTTAAGAGGATTCAAACAAAGGTGGTTATTTACATTATACCACCAGAAAGAGAAGTCTTCTGGTTATCTACTTTAGATCTTGACAAATTATTTTCAAATTGGAATGTGGTTTGATCTTGATTATTGAAAAGATTTTAGATTTTCAATAACCACAAATCCAAATAATAATAATATCTGATAATAATACATCCTCCTACCAATTTTTTTTATGCCACACTCACCTTGCCCCCTATCCGGACCTGAGCCTGAAGTTTGGCTAACTTTTCTTGATTCATGCTGTTGGTAAATCTAGGGGGGGGAAAAATAGATTTGTTAAAGTTACTGTTTTACCAAAATAAAATAACTGTTTATGCAACAGTACCTTCTGGTTCATTGAGTTTGCAGCATTCATTACCCCCATGATCATATTAATACTGCCTATGTTCTTAATAAATATTAATAACTTTTTCTAGCTTCATAAACCAGATATTAAAAGAACAAAAATTAAATAATACCACGAGGGAGCCGAATATGCAAATAGAATGGGATTCAAAGTTACCTATTTGAAGATCCCTCCTTAAATGCACGATTCAAATAAAACCTAACCAATTACAAAATCTCTGTAGGCAACCCAGTTTTTCCCTCAAAGATTTTTACAGCGGAGAACTGTTACCAAATGTTATTAGCACAACCTTTAAGTAGATGTTTTTCTCCCAAATCACATTCTGTATTCCTTGTAAGCCATAAATAAAAAACAAACCAACAAAAAAAGCTGAACAAAGAAAAAAATTCAACAATAGACTGTCTAGCTGTCAAGATATGAGGTACTCATGTCCTCTATTCAAGGTCAGATGGTATGTTAATAACAAGGAATGAGAACCAGATTTTTAGAGGTTCAGTGCTTCTGCAGCACTTTCCAGAGTTCATTCAATACTTTGCAGTGATATAATATGCAAGCTTCTCCCCTCCCCTTCCTTTTGCTTGCATACAGGGCATAATGCCTCAATGCAGAATTTGACAAAAAACATATCTCTGCTACATTAATACTAAAATTTTTTTTTTGGGGGGGGGGGGAGAAGGTGAAGAGACTCTTAATAAAGCCCTTTAAGGCTAAACTTAATTTTGAAAATTCTGAGAACATTATAAAGTCATGAATCCTAGTCTGGTCAGTGATATTTATACTAAGGAAAAAGTTCTTAAGTTTATAATGAACCATAACATTCCACACTATATAAACAAATAAAAGCCAGTGTTAAAGCCTTGTTTTACTTGTTCTGTGGATCAACAGATCATTACTGAGATGTGAGAGATGGCATAAAGTACAAGCCTTTTTTTGGCCAATTCTCTAACTTCTTTATAATCATCATTCAGATGAAAAAGACTGTTTTCTTCATTTGAGAAGTGAAAGAGAATCAAAGATTATTCCTAAACATTCCATATTCTGACACTGTACTTAGGCACTAACCTGTGTGTGTGTGTGTGTGTTGTGTGTGTGTGTGTGTATATATATATATATATATATATATATATATATATATATATATATATATATATATATATATATATATATATATATATATATATATATATATATATATATATATATATATATATATATATATATATATATATATAACTGCTTTAAGGCCAAATAAAGTCCAGTTTCCAAATAACATTTTTTTATATTAATTCAGAATTTATTTACAGTCTTCATTTTCCCAATTGCGCAGCCTAGTCAAATAACATTTAGAATTTATGATTCCTTAAATCTTCGCTCAGCACTGAATCACAATGTTCAAGCAGCTAAAAACAATCTCTTATAAGAGGAAGTGTGATTAGAATACAAAATCAGAGATCTTTAGTGTGTCATACACTTAAATTTGCTGACGTAAATCCCAATCTCTATGCTCAGTATCTACAGAAAAGGACCAATATTCATTTTTCTCAAAGGAATTGGCTATGAAGATGTAGTGAACCAACAAAGAGCTAAGGACTTTTTTGACCAAAAAAAGGGGCTAAGTGAAACTATTAGAACTAGACATAGGGTAAATAAACCTTTTGGGACGCCTCTGCATTTTCAAGTGACAACCCCCAAGAGATGGAAGAGAAGAGACAGAAATCAAGATAGAGTCCTGACTTGTCTGAAACAAAAGTAACAAAACTAACTATATCAATGTGCACCATAAAAGAATAGATTCCATTTTAGGTAATCAGGACAACAGAGAACTTGTTCTCAAGGAGTATCTCAGAAAAAAAAAAGCATATTAGGGAGGTTGGAAGCTCAAGGGGGTAGGGGAAGAAGGGGGGTCCTTTGTCTATTAGCAGGTTGGGGTGTATGGAATTCAAGTAGGAAAGGGGAGTGGTCTGTCTTTGAGAAAGGTCAAGCTTAGAAATGTAAACCTTAAAGGTCACCTGGCCTACTTCCCTATTCCTCAATCAACCTGTAATTTATTGTCTTGTATGTAAGGCCGTCTCAAATTCTTGCAAGCAGCAGCAGGGTAAAAATTATGAACAGTTCACCTCCCTTCCACTTGCATAGATTTGCAGATGAGGACCCAGAAGGGAGAAGACACTTTCTAGGCCCAAAAGGGAGAAGTAACTTCCTAAGGGCATATGATCCTCGAGCTCTTCCTTGGGGACCCTAGAATCTTTCAGCCTTTTCCTTACAGACTCAAGAAAGGGTGTCAACAATGAGGTTATACTCAATATTTATTGAGTGCCTAAGTTCCCAACATTATAGTAGGCATTTTCACATACATCATGTTTACACAGAGGGTAATAATTTAGCCCTTAGTCCCGACCTTTTTTTTTTTTTTTTTAAATCGTGTTGGGTTTCTCTAAGAGAAGCATAAGCTTTGCCATCAGAAGAATCAAGGTTCTACCACTCAGCCTTTCGGAAAGGTATTTCACTTCTCTGAACCTGTGACTCTTCTGCACTAGAAAAAGTGTTTACGCCACACACTTCAAAGCGTGCTGTTCATGGTTAAAGGTTATCAATAGCACAGGGTATGACTCACAGTAGATTCGCAAAAACTGGTAACTATTGTTACCAATCCCGAGGGGACAGCTACGGTATAGTCAGTGAAAGGACGCGGGACAGTAAGTTGAAACCACCATCACTAGCGATGTCACACTGTGTCAGTCGGTCCACCATCCACCTCCTGACAGCCTACTACGCAACCAGAAGTGGGATGGGGCTCTCAAGACCCGCCGGGCAGCGTCCCGGAGCGGGAGGCCGACTGGCAAACAGTTGTTGCCATTAGGAGGTGCAGAGTGCTGCCACGCAATTCGGTCCAGGAGGTAGGGGGCCGGGGCTGCAAACCTCAGTTTCCCTCTCTGCCGGGGAGAATCAAATGAGACGATAGCGGACTGGCTGTGCACAGCTCCAAGCTCACAACACTGTTTGGATAATGGAGAGTAACCGGACAGAGGCGGGGGATCACCCGCCTCCTGGGGCCGGATCTGGATGGCAACAGCGCGGGCCCGCTCGCCCCCACAGAGGGGGGTGGTGCTGGGGACCTTCCCTCAGGTGCCGACCCCCAGCTGCGCCGCCGGTAACCGACAGGCCAGGCTAGCCGCCTCCGCCCCCACTTCGCGCGCCACGGCGGAAGTGGCAGCCCGAGAGGCTGGCGGGTGTCGGAAGAAGAGGGCGGGGGGAGACCGTGCGCAGCGGCCTATGGCCATGGAGTGGCGGGACCGCCGGGGGTCTCACCTGAAGCAGGGAGAGTCCTCCAACACCAGCACGCGGCAAGAGCAAGATGGCTGCCTCAGCCCAGACAGAGAAAGACGACGGAGGCGGCGGCGGCGGGAGCGAGGCCCACGTGATACAGCCAGCCCTCACCAGAGCAACCTATCCGGGGAGAGCGAGTGCGAACTACAGGGCCCAGCCTGCTATGCGCCTCCCAATGGAAAGGTGACAGGTGCGGATGGCCGCGGTGCATTCTGGAGCTTGCAGTCTCCCAAGCTTTCCATTGTGTTGGTGCCTGCGATAGGTAGGGAGCCTAATAAAAGCGCAGGGTGTATTTTTGTTTGGGTGTGTACTTTGTCAAGTGTCTTTTACTAGGCATTAAGTATGCTCTGTCGTACTCAACTAGTCTCCACTTAGGAGGCGAGACAAGACATTTTGACCTGTTATGACATACAGAGAAAAAAAAAATTGGAGAAATACTCAACCCACCAAGTTTAACCCCTTCCCCAACAATTTTTTTGTTAAAAACGTTTCTTTTTCAGACTAATTTTTTTATTTTGGTTCTATATAGTATTTTTGATGCTGGTTATGAAAACAGTTTGTAACTCGTCTTCCTATAAACCATATTTTTTTACGATATTTTCTTAGTATACTCGTCGACGACTGAAAAAGAACATTTTGTGAAAACGAGTATACACGTTTCTGCCGGGGAAGGGGTTTAAAGACAACAAAAGCAAAATAAATAAATAAAAACAACAAAAGCAAATAGATTTAACCAGAAGAAGCTCGACAGTTTAAATGCCTGCAGTGACTTCTGTCCTGGTTCCCTGAAGAGCTAAGCTAGGTCAGTTTTGCAATAACAGATACCAAGTTCGGGTATTTTTCAGAGCAGGCATTGGTTAGTTGCATAATCCCTGAGTGGAAGAATTGCGGTTGCCAGGAAAATAAGGTCCAGCGCTTCTTCCCCAGCAAGAAGAGGCGTTCTTGCAAGGCACGGAGACCGTGTACAGGTTGTCTAGGTCTCCTGGAGACCAAGCAGGAACCCAAGAATGAAATCCAGTAGTCTAGTCTTTTATGTTTGCGGCGGGGGAAGTGGGACCCGAGGCCAATGGGCAACCCGCCCACTGTTTGGCGCGGCTGACTTCGCCGATCGATAATTTGCTTTGTTAATATTAAGTGCAGCGGTTCTAGGGGGCGGGGCTAGCCTGCTGGCAGACGCAACCAGCAACGGTTTCCGAAGCTTCCTCCCCACCCCATCACTATCTCAGCCCACTTTTTCTCTCAATGTCCTCCGACTGAACATCCAAAATCGGGGTTGGGTAGGTGGAAGCAACTTGCGTTGGAGAGCAACACCTATACCCTTCTACGTGATCTGCACCTTTAAACTCACTCGATCACAATCCGGACCCCGGAGGCACCACCCACATCCGTTTAACATCACTTCCTTCAGAGTTAAGGGGGGAAAAAAATCCTGGGAACTCGAGGGGTTGAGTTGAGCCGCGTTTGGGGAAGGGCGCGGACCTTCTGCTGTAGGACTCCGGCTCTGCGTCCGCTCTGCCCGGTGGCCCCGCGCACTTACCACCATGGAGCTGCGGCCTCGTCTCGGGGCCACCTGTTTGCTGGGCTTCAGTTTCCTGCTCCTGGCCACCTTTTCTGATGGACGTACTGGGCTTGGAAAGGGTCAGACCGCATTCTTATCTTAATCTTTACTTATCCTGGGTCCCAGCCCAGTATAACCCTCTTCTCCTCTTAACACGACCCCCCTCCCACTCTATCTCTTTAGTCACGCCGGATTCTTTTTTATCCTAG